TGCATTTCTCATGAACAAAAATACTGTTCCAGAGAATAAGCATTTCAGTAGATTCATTCACAGAAGTCAAGACCAAGAGATGATAGAGGAGCACAAAATAAGAAATGGATGTACATCACTACAATTAAGAGAAAAAGAAACCAGATTATTTTAAAGGCCGACTAAACACAAAAAAATATACATACAGCATATTATTATATACAAACTATGAAAAATTGCACTAATTTATTGGAAGTAAAGTTTAAAATTAACATTGTGGAAAACATTCCTGCTAGTAATATTGCCATTTTTAAAGATGTTTAAAACTAGTCCTAGGAAAGAACTATATTGTACATACTAGAGAATGCAACTATTACCTTGTGGTCTAATCGTCAATTCCCTGCCTAATGGATTCTATACTCAAAAGATGTTACATAATCTAATAATCAGAATTTTATTCCATCAGAAATACAAACTTAATAATGAAATTCTATTACTGCATGAATACTACTATATTTCAAAATCATGCTATTATATGGAGATATCAGTAAAACAAGCTTAATTATGGAGCTCTTGATGCCTTAAGATTAGCCCAGCTCACCCTTTCTGTATCAATTCTTTTCCTTTCTATATCTGGCAGGTATTCAATGTTAGTTCCACACACTGACATTGTGGCTAACCAGAAATCTTTCATTAAGCTAAATAAAGACTACTAACAGCAAAATTTTATTAGTGCTAGGCAATAGTCACAAGGCTATTAAGAAACAAGAACCTTCTGTTGCCCAAATGTTTTTAAACACCTTTATCAACAAGCACATATAATTTAGAGAATGCTGTAGCATTTTGTAACCATCCTGAAAGAGAAAGTGTATGAACACTACAAGAGGAAGGGGATGAAAAAGATAACAAACCAAAAAAGTGAAACATTCCATGAATTATCCTAAACTGATTTTGAATTACATAAGTCCAGGATAGTAGCAGAATGTTTTGAAATGAACCCAAAATTCTAGATGTCTGGTTTGTGTTTGCAGACGGCTCAACTAAAACTGCTTCTAGATATAAAAGATAAAAGGATGGTTGTTCTTCACTTCCAAAATGAAACTATAACTGTATAAGGTTTAAGAGGCAATAGTCTTTATCACACCTCTAATCTAAATATTTTTCAAGTGTTTCTGTTACCAAAATGAAAATATTATCACAAGTTTTAATACAGCAGTGTGAAAAGAAAAACTAAAACTAGAAAATGATCTTTTGATTCAGAATATTGGCATTTGGAAATATTGAGACAAACTAACCTACAGAATTTGCAGACAGTATTATCCTGCCCTCTCACCTACTTCTGAAACTGCCAGCAGTTAGATTAACTACACAAAGACCTCTGCAAGGCATCTTGTCCCAGACAACACCTCCCACATGGATTATTGTTGGTATCAAACTTCCTAATAGTGCATTCAACTCCTTCATCCAGATTGATTTGAAAGAGACAAATACATTGCAAACAAGACTGGGCAGAGAATTGAGCTCTGAGTGTCCTGTGGCCCCATTCACCACAACCCTTCAAGCCCTGCCCTTCAGCCACTTCATCAACCAAGCACGTCTTGAACCTACTGAACAATTTTTTTCCAGGAGGACAGTATCAAAAACCTTACTAAAGTACAGGAAAAATACATCCACCACCTTCTCTTCACCCACTGGGCAGGTGACTACTATAGAAGAATATCAAATTAGGTAAACAGGAGTTTCCCTTTGTTAACCTGTTTTGATCATGCCTGATGACTGCATTGTCCTTTAAATGCCTTTAAATAGTACCTAATATATTCTTTTTTCATACTTTTTTCAGGAACTGAGGTTAGAATAAAAGGTCTGTAGATTCCTGAATCTTCCTTCATGCCATTTTTGCAAACTGTAATAATACTGTCTGGCTTCCAGTCAGTGAGGACCTCCCCAGACTCCCATGACCTTTGGTAGATAATTAAGCGGGGACCTGCCATAGCATCCACTAGCTCCTTTTATGGTTTGATTTACTTAAACGCGGGGACATACTACAGTTCCAGAAAAATCAAAACAAATACTAAAGAAAAAAAAAATTATTTATCCAAAACCCTTTAAAAGTGTTATTGCAGAAGGCCCCTATCAGAGAAGCCACTACCAAGCAAGGAGATAGAACAGTCTTGATAAATAAAACTTTCTGGGAAAAAACGGGGCAAACATCAACTTCCACTATATGTAAGTAAGAATACTCACCTACATGAACATGGGATTGAAAAAAATTGTCTGTTTTCAAGAAAAGAATTTGTGGATTTCAGTGAATTAAAAATAAAAAGTGAGACCATTGCAAAAAGCAGCATAGACCAATTCATAAATAGGGAGTAAGACTTGCAGACACTTGGGTAATTTTTATATTTCAGTATATGCTACTAAATTCTCAGCTGAAATAATTCCTAGCTTTAGGCACTGAGCTTTAGGCACTGAAAAACTTGGAGAAAACAGAAGTAGACGAACAACAATAGCAATTCTCCTTCCTAAAAAATGTGATGCATGAAGAAAGTTTGAAGGGGCTGAGGTTGGGTAAATAGAAGTGAATGACAGAAAAGAGTACATATGACAAATATGACTGCAGCCTTGAAATACAAAATGGGTAACCATAAAGACTAATGGAAAGTTTTTCTTCATTTCCACATCAGGCTGAAAGACGAAGACAGGATATTTTGACTAATGGAAGAAAAATTTCCTAATGATAAGCATCAGAAAAGACTGTAGCTGTAAAAAAATGTTTTATTAATAGTGGATCTGAGTCTGGCTGGAGAAACAGAACACATCAGTCTTCCAGTCTACACTTCTGAATTTCTTATTGAGCAAAAAGAGTTGGAAAAACATTAACAGCAAGTCTAAAATGCAGAGATCATAACATTGTGAAGATGCCATGGGCAAAGCACATTTCTCTAGCTACGGCTTAGCCCACATCTGCAGTCAGTTTTGTACAGCACTCCTCATATGGCTGTGGAACAGGAAACCAGTGGGGCTGTGTCACTGTATTGTTACAAGCAAAAGTACTGTCAAGGTGCTTTCTGGAGTAAGAATTCTGTCCTCTTCTCACCCCCACAGGAACACCTAAGTTCTGGTGTCATTAAATGACAATAATTGACCTTATTCCCTGACCTAGCAAATGCCTTGGCCTTTTCTAGCCCCTACATTTATGACAACCTTTAATCCTTAAGCACCCTGGGGGTCCAGCAATGCCAGTATCAGTTTGCCCTTTTTATTGGCTTCACCTGGATCTCACCAACTGTAAAGAAAAGAAAATTGTGCCAGTTTACTCAGTATTCAGGCACTGAAATTCAACAGCCAAATATTTAATCTTGTTAAACAATTTAAAAACTCTTGGAACAACTTTGGTCAACCAACTTCTCTCCCAAACAACTTGGACACAGTTTGGGTGCTCCTCTGGTAAAATAACATTCCCAACAGGCAAATTCAAACCAGCCTTTGCACTCAGGAGGCAAAAAGAGCTTATTGGTGAGTTTGTGGGAATGTCATGTCAAGTGGCCTTGGTGTCAGAGAGCAGTCTGATAACATTTAATGCACTCCTGCAGCTCTACCCACTGCCCTGTGAGGCCCCAAGTAAGGAGATCATTACTAATGGCAGCTGAAAGAGGAGCTGCTACACAACAAATGTGAATAAATAGTAAAAAATGGTACATTTCTTCTTAAAGAGTGGACTTTTCAGGATGAAATAATTATTTTAATTCCCACTGCAGAACCCAGTTCTCACCATAAAAGGAAGAAAAAGCCAGTGGGTGCAACTCTGTCTTGGAACTCTTTACTCATATAAATGGTGTCTAGATGCAGTTCCTCCAAACTAAGTAAAAATTATATCTTCATAGTCATAAGAACAGTAAATACATATGGAAAGAAATCCTGCTCACTCAGTGAATTATATACATTTTTGAAAAAAAAAAAAAAGTATGTTTTTGGACTCTGAAGGCCTGATTGGAATCAACAGAGCCCAAGATATTCCAGGCGAAACTGGTATTTCATGAACACAATTATGCCTTTTACTTTAGAAAATGGTTTAAGCTAAAGGCGAAATGGTAATGCTCACTTGCTCAATTCAAGCTTTCTTAGGATTTTATTATTTAACTCAAATCCTTTACATCACATAAGGTTTCTTGTGTTGAATTGTAGTGCAGCTGTTTACTCAAGTGGCAGCAGCATACCTTGTGATAAATTAAATGAACATTTATCAAAGGTAAGTTGACAGGTTTAAATGTTAAAATGTAAGCATGGTAAGACAAGTACAAATAGTTTCTACCTGGAGGTTACATATATAAATCACAGGATAGATATTTTAATTAACTTTAGCACAATAAAGAATGTTTGCTTTCTGAAGTATTGAACAACATTTCCTGAGAAAGGAAGATACAAAATGTCATGTAATATATTTTAAGTCGAGCTTACACATAAATGAAAAATTGAAAATCCTTCCTCCCATACAACACAGGCAAGAAGGAGACAAATATTATTTAGAAATATAAGTTTTGGAATCAATATTTAAAGTTAAATTAAATGAAAAATTAAAGAGAGTCATGCCAGAGAGAGGCATAATACATGGATAGAGAGAGTTTGTTACTTTATTTCATTTTACTCTTAATTCACTGAATTATTATCTAATGACAGAAATGAGTAGTTTTCTCAGGTTCTGAGGTAATTTTGAGAAAGCCTAAAAGATGAAGTCACAACAATAGTCAGTGGTAAACTCAAAGAAAATGCATTTCTGGTGGGAAGAAAAAGTATATATGTATATACATATAATAGTTATATATAGATTTCTTTTGTTTCTTAAGCTCTTCTAGTCTTCCTATCTTACAGTAATTTTTCAGGTAAAAAGCTAGAAAGCAAGAGCAAGCTGCAAACCCACAAGAGCACAAAGCTAAGTGCCTTCTTATCAACCCTTCACCTTTCAAACCACTGAAGCACTTTGACATTTAAAATGCTAACAAAATCTAAAATGTTTTACTCACAGTTAAAACCAGGTTCAATAGTTTTCGCAGCTTCAAGACTGTTTATTGTAATCTGAAAGATGATGTGCAGCAGCAGGAATGATAGACTGGTGAAACACAGAGATTTCAATAATCGTCCTGTATGCCCTAAAAGACAAAATACACATTGATATAATAGGTGAATTTCTGAACATTGCTTAAAGATTTTCAGTATAAAACCATAAAAATATCCTGACCAAAGATATTTCTACTAGTCAGTTCCACATTAATCATGACTGTCCCCTATGGTCAACATTATAGTAAAAATCACACTTTAATTATAGTTTCTTTCAGTACTCTTTAATCACAAACCACAACAACTGCTATTGCCAAATTTTTACTTTTTTTTTTTTTTTAATGAAAGAAAGAAATTTTTTAAGTTTTTTAAGTCTTTACAGAGCAATTTCACATAAATAATAATAAGATCACAGTGCTTACCAACACATTACCTGGTACTTAGACAAAACAGAAATGATACCTCTTCTTCTGAGAATATAAAAGCCTGTTCATCTTATTACTTCTTACAAAATTATTCCAGGGCAGAGGGCATAACAAGACACAAACCTCAGTTTGGCTCAGGAGTTTAGACATACTTCCAGTGAATGCTTTGCTTTGTGCCAACTGCCCTCTTCCTTCAGAAGTTTTAAACATAATTTTCAGTATACACTAAAGAACCCTGTGCCAGACACATTTGGTCATAGTTCCTTTGTGATTTACTGGATGTCTATTCAAAAGCCAACAGAAAATATTTGATGAAGATTTAGAAATGCCTTATAAATCCTCTAGGAAACACTCCGCTTAATCACAGGCAGCCAAAATTGCAAGGTATGAATAAATAAAGTAAACCATCAGCATTTCAGGAAATATGCATCTTCAAGACAAAATTGAATTGCTGATAAGAGACAACATTAAATATCACCCTACCTGACCTATCTGCAATAACAGTTCTACTTCCAAAGCATTTTATACCTACATTTTATACCACCTGCTCCATGAATTTGAGGTTAATTTTTTAGTTTACACATTAAAAAACAGGACTACTGAAACTCTTATTCAAGGCTGTAAATTCTCCTCCAAGGCTATGGAGGGCAGAACTAGCAGAATATACCTAGGAAATGCTCACTCTGCATGCAGCCTGTTCTGCTCATACTTATTCTGCAAACAACTGTTATGAGCAACTACTAGAAAGAAGATGATGGTTCACATTCTGTATCTAGATAATAAACCAGATTTTAATTTTTAGATTTTTTGTAGTTTAAGCATAGGTCATCAATGGCCTAAACAGCAGTATATTTTTTAAATATAGTAAATATTATTTTTTTCAAAAATAACTAAAATGGTATGAATGAGCCCATGGATTAATTTTCTGCAGTCTGAAAAGAACTAGATACACCATTTTTTTGCTAGATACACCCTTTTTTTTTTATCTATTCACTTGTCACCAGAGTTCACATAGAAAAGAGACAACCTGGGTGCCAGAGAATTACATCAAAAAGACTGGTTATTAAAATCTTTGAGCCACTTTTCGTTCTTCTCCTTCTGCAGAAGCAGGCCTGGTGTCCTGTCTTAGGACAACAACTTCTAAGCACTACAAAAGCAATAAAATAGGCAATATTTTCAAAAGCTTTAGAAGAACAAACATATGACAGTCTACATATTATTAAACAATTTTTTTGATATGATGTCATATACGTAAAGTAGTCCAGGGACTGCTGTATTTTACAATTCTTGTGCAAGCTTCAATATTTGATGCTTGTCTTCTTCATTACCAGATCCCAGGCTTATGGTATTACAAGCAGCACACCCTCAGAATACAACTAAATATAACTAAAAAAAAAGCTGTCTCAAAGCTGGAGAAAGACAGTGTGACAATATAAGTTGTGTGGACTTTAGAAGTGTGTCCAAATGTACAAATTTCAAAGACAATCTGGTGATTTATGAAGTTCTAAGTTACAAACTTAGTGCTTGGGAATTAATAGGTATCAAGCAACAAATTTTTCATGTGAAAGTGGATTTGAAATTTTTTGATAGAATGGTCTGAGTCAGCATCCAAATGTGAAAAAATGCAATACAATTAGTCAATGCACATTGAATTTCCAAACTGTCAGGTCTATCTTTCAGTATTTCTGTATCACTTCAAAATATATCTCTTCTTACAAGTATCACTTCTTACAAGTTTGAAAACAAACATCTTTGAATTTAAATTGAGCAAACCATTTCTTTAAACAAGATCTTTTACAGCTGTCATCCTTTTAAGAATTGTAGGAAAGCCAAAAATGTATTTCTTCAAATGCTGAAATGTTGTAAAAAGATCTCCTTCTGCACAAAGCTAGGAAAAAATGTAAAGGACTATTAACAGTCAGGATAATAAATAGTCTCTCAGTGTACTGGTAAACATGGCAGGTTAAAAACACATCTGGAAGGCAGCTGAGTATGTTCAGAGCAGGTTACAGCATTCTTCAAGGGTCACTCTCTTCACAGCCATCAGTGGGACAGGACCACCATCAGATTCTACTGAGCATGAGCACTTTGCTTGCACCACATTCATCTGTGCCAGCAGAAACTAGAAACTGGAAACTAGAAGTATTTGGAGAAAAGTAAGAAATATTATGACCCGGATTTCAAAAGTTTGGAGCTACATCAACAACTTGGGAGAAATGGGAGTGCTAAAATAAGTGAATTACTGAACACGTAATTTATGTTAAGGAAGAAGAAGTGACAGATTTGGAAAAGAGATGAGTTTCAATTCATAGTAGGGTTTGGGTAAACCCACTTAACTATGTTTTTACTTACATTTTTCTCTTTCTACTGGAAACTTGATTCTAAATGGCACAAAGGAAAAATTAACCATATGCATACAGAATTGATATGCTGAGAAAAGAGACAGGTGAAATAAAATAGACCTTCTTACAATGAGGAAAGAATATTTTTTTTTCGTCCTTTAATTTTTTAAAATTCTAATTCACTCTCAATTTTGCAATTCCTTTGCTAAAACATACCTCAACTGTTCAGTTGCCCTAATGTAAAAATCCTTGGGACATGAATGGAAGCTGAACATCCCACAGAGAATGAGATATGTATTGTTCAGAAAGCTGTGTGGACAGAACAGATGTGCAAGAGAACATTGCCCCAGCCAAATACCAGAATTCACAATATCAATTCCTTAATTTAAGTCCTAAATGTATAACAGGCTTCTGTATGTCCAACAAGACTAAAAAAAGTAAAACCACATTGCAAAACACCTCGGTTTGGAGTTTGAGCACTGGGTTCTGATTTCACTCCACCAGCAACGTTTGACAAAACAATGGAGGCTAGAAAGGAGAGAGAACATTTGTCTCAGAACTGGGCTGAAAGACTGAGAAAAGTGGGCTTGCTTTCAGGTGTCACTGCAGGTGTCATTTCTAATGGTACCCAGTGGGACCAAAACCTGGCATGTAGCTCTAGAAATGTACCCCAGCACATCTCAAACTCCTGGCAAAGGGCTTTCTCCTCTCTGATCAAGCCTGCAGGAAGCCAGGCAGGATGTGAAGGCTTCATTACCCTCTTTCTCTTCAGCCCAGATGCAACATAAAACTGGACTCAAGAGGGCCAAAAGCTTTTCAAATGTGGAAGAGGAATCAATTTCTTATTTTTCAAAGGTAATCCAGCCAAGAGCTGGATTAGTAATGGCATGCCCCCCCCAGCCACAGGCATGTAACCTCAGTACAACTATTTGAATGTGTTCTAATTGGACTGCTGCCTCCAACACACACATGCACCTCTTGACACGTGATTGACAAACACAAAGTTGGAGCATGCTACACACATTGTTTCCAACAACAATGAAACATTTTTGTGCATTCATGTCTAGGCAGGTAGTCCTCTGATCTTTTTTTGCTACCCTCTTCCTTAAAACAGCAAGAGTATGTCAGAATTCTTTTGTACACCTGGAACTTCCTCAGAGCTTCGGATGTGCTAATGGGACATGGAATTGAATGGCCAGTTGTCCCTGAGACCTGCTTAAAAGTCACATATATTAGGTCTTACATGGCCATGAGCCTTAGGTTATGACAAAGAATATGATTGATATGATATGATATGATATGATATGATATGATATGATATGATTGATATGATATGATATATGATTGATATGATATTACATCATATCATATCATATGGCAACTGTTTGCAAGGTGCATTTTCATACCATACTGCTATTTTTTTTCTCATTCTAATCTAATTATGGGGCATGACAAAGAATTTGTTGAATCTCTAAGAAAGTGAATAATACTGCTAACAATTTTAATTGATTTTTTAAAATAAATGTATCTCTAAGTATCGCTGTGCAAAGCTGGTAAGTTCAAAGGGTCTGTATCCATTTGAATGCTGTAATATTATCAGAAAAGAGAGAATAGAGGAGGAAAAAATGGAACATAAAAATTAATTTAAGACTGTTTACTATTCCAACAGTGTAATTCCATCATCACAAGCATACATATGCTGCATGGACTCACCTAAATGGCATATTTAAGTGCTTCAGTATCTTATTAGAAGTTTTTATTACTTTTCATAGGTATTTTTTAAAATGTAACCTTAGTGTTGCATTTTCTGAAGTTTGTTCATCTGGGGATATTTCCAACATCGCTTTAGCCATATATTGTACTCCAAACTGTTACAGCAGTCTCAATTCTCCTTTAATAGTTATGTTCAGGATTTTTTTTACACAACACTTTCTATTCAGATCACAGTAGATTAAATGCCAAAGCAAAAGTCATTTTTCATATAACAATTTATGATAGCACACAGTGCATGATAAGTATTAATGTGCATTTATCTCCTGAACTAGTGACACTTCACCTAATAAAAATACTCTATTACAGCCATTCAGGACATTTTTCCATAAACCTCTTCATCAGTAAGTGACAAACATAAAACTAAAGTGCTCAAACTTCTGCAGCACACACAGACTCAGTCCCAAAGCATTTGCTTCAGCTAGCAACTGAACTTAACTTCTTGACTTTCCATCAGGAAACCTAACATCACCTCAGAGCCCAGCTAGAACCAGGGTCCAGAGACAAATCTCCTGTTCCATGATTCCAAATAGGAATCTGCCAGCATAACCTGAA